TTAGATTTGAACATTGTTTCAGTTTGTGAACACGTTTAGTGAACACGTTGAACACGTTAAGTACTAACGGTGCCGCGATTTAAACTTTAGGATCAGCTTCTTATGTAAATAAACAGCTTATGTTGGTGTTTACGCGCAGATGATGTATAAAAAAAATGATCATGTCAGGCCACGATTTGGGAAAAATTAAATAAGCGTCCCCCCTCCCCTCGAATAAGCGCCCCACGTCTTCTCCTAAATTTGAAATAAGCAACCCGGGCGCTAATTCGAGGATTTACGGTGAGTACATAAGTGTGTCGGTCTACATAAGGTACTAAGGCAGTTATAACCGCTGGTCTAGCGTACCGTGGACGACAAAATTTTACGCCATTCCAGTCGTCCTGGTCCTCTTGGTCGGTCCTCTTCAAGTCTTCAAGTCCACTTCCACCTATTCGTCAGCCTTCCAGTCGGCCTTGTCGTCCGCCTTCCAGTGACCCTTCCAGCCGGCCTAGCCTCCAGTGCAGAAAGTTAACCTTGGAGTGTATTGTAAAATGTTTTGTAGCATGGGCCAGGGTCTTTCCTTCTGTTTGTTTTAGATCAAAAGATCGTTCAAAATGAGTTATAGCGAGGATCAAGAGGATGAAAGAGAAGTTCTGCGTTCTATTTACGAAGCGGATGAAAGGTTCAAAGAGGTCAACGCCACGACCTTTCAATACAAGTTCGGCGAAGACGGCCATTACAAATCATTCTTACTGGAAATCTCCTGGCCCCCAAATTATCCAACTTCGCTTCCAGTTATTAATTTAGATGCATTTTACAACAAGCACATCAACTCTAAAGTGAAAGAAAGCATCCGACTCCGGGTAGTAGAACAATGTGAAATGTGTCTTGGCACTGCTATGACTTATTCAATATTTGACTGGGCCAAGGAACACGAGGAAGAGCTTATGCAAGATCAACAGGCGCAAGTAAGCTTATGTTGATTTAGTTTATCTATATTTATACCCTGCGTGCCCAATCCATGAAAATCGATCATTGGAAGGCAGTCGATTTAATCAATATAATCGATGATAATATTATAATATTATAATTAGTAGCTCAAGCAAATATTTCAAATTTGGTTATTAATGTGGCTTTTAAGGTGGCTTTATAACAGACCAGTTGGAGATGAATACCTTGTGTGAGAGCACGCGCAAATTAAGCGGACATAGATTAAAACTGATAATACATACCAGGGATATAAAACTAACTGGGATAACAACAAAAGACCCGATTAACACTAGTGAGGCAATCTCAAATAGTGCAGAGTGCAATTGATAGCTCTGGCACGGTAGTCCCATAAGTACTCAACACTGCTCGGTTCACTTCCGGTTTGTATCTACCTTGGTAGTCTGCTGGGGCTTTGCCCCTTAGCAGTGTGTACGTTTCAAGGTTGTATTTTCATTCAAGGTCCAAAAATTACCTACAATTACTGTTTGTCATGACAGCTTTTACTCTGGTGTTTTACGATGATTTTCGTTCATTTTAAATTCAATAATGCGTTGAACAAACATGACAATTTAGCTCTTCACGCCAACTTTGTAACTTGATACTATTGTTTTCCTAACAAAGGTATGTAACATGAAACCCTTTTTTTCTCCAAAACACACGGAAGATGAGCTTGTTTTTTGGGGATAAATGAAAGAAAGTTAAATATCTGACAAAGAAATGGAAGGGAAACAATTTTGTTTTTTCTCAAAACGTAAATTTTCTTATCACGGATGAACAGGAACCAATTCAATTATCAGATAGTCACGAAATGCCACCTTCTTTTTTCTGTTGCCACCTTTGTTGTTAACAACTGAAAACAATTCAAAATTAATACACAACAATATTGATTGCTGAGAAGCGTTTCAACGAAAAGTATTGAAGGTATAAACAGTGCTCCTTGACTGATATGAACAAGTCTCCTCAAAGACTGATTAAGCTAATTTGCGCTATCATTAGGTGCCATGGAGTCTGCAGCAATGTTTGAGCACTTTCCTGGTTTCTTTTTTCACAAATCTACAAATTGCAGAGTATTAAAGCCACCAACTTGGGAACTTTTTNTTTTTCTGTTGCCACCTTTGTTGTTAACAACTGAAAACAATTCAAAATTAATACACAACAATATTGATTGCTGAGAAGCGTTTCAACGAAAAGTATTGAAGGTATAAACAGTGCTCCTTGACTGATATGAACAAGTCTCCTCAAAGACTGATTAAGATAATTTGCGCTATCATTAGGTGCCATGGAGTCTGCAGCAATGTTTGAGCACTTTCCTGGTTTCTTTTTTCACAAATCTACAAATTGCAGAGTATTAAAGCCACCAACTTGGGAACTTTTTGGTCTCTCTTGCAGACGCAATTAAGGCAAGAAATAAACAAGCCGCTAATGAGAAGCAATACATTTGAACCCTAACAAACACACAATTGTAGATTGAAAACAGCAGATGATATTTGTTGAACCGACCTGTGTGTAATTCATAAAGCTACGCAGCCACAGTAACGTTTCACTTTTGTAATGAAAAGGGACAAGTGGTGCTATCTGAAATATAACTGCTGTCCTCGGTCACATGACATGACATATAACATACTGCGTGGAAACATAGTGTATAACACTAACGCATGCATCTTACTTGTTGAGTTCTACCATAAGGAAAACCTCTCAACATTTGTATGTGATTCCGTATGCAATGTATCCTCCACCTAATATAGAAGCCACAAATGCTAACTAACCTGGGCATGCGTTTAGAGCAAATTGGTTTTGTTCTAAAGAGAATGCAACCACAAGGAGAGCAAGGGGTTACCTGAAACAAACATATAGCTTTGCGATGTTCACACCCAACTGGCGCAGATGGAACATGTTTTACGTAGAGTACACATGTACCTTTCCCACCCCACCCCACCACTTCCTTGCCTCTAGACTAATTAATTAATTGAAATTAGTCAATTTGACAAACATTAAAGTTTACACCTTAGCACTATAGCGCCATAGCGCCTTAGTACCTTAGCGGCAGGCAGCCCCCAAAACCATCTCAATAGTGCACTCTGCACTAAAAAGGGAAATGTCTGGTTATCTCTACAGTAACATTTAATGGATGCACCATTTGTGAATACCAGTTGTTACTTCAGGGATACCAAAGCAGTTGTAGCGTGCACGAAAGGTCGAATCAATGAAAGCAGTAAAGAGTGTGTGTTCAACAACATTTTAGAATGCATCTTGTCCGTTCCCTTGAGAGAAACATTTTACATCAATCAAAGAAATTTTAAACAATGCACACCATAGTCCTATTATCTATCCTTTTGTGAATACCAGTTTTTACTGTTAGATTGGTAAGGGAACTCACTTTAGAATTACATTGAATTGATGTTACAGTCTTAATAAAATAACTACATTTTGCTAAGATCCAAATCCAAGACGAAGTAAGTGTGATTCTGTTTTTGTTTCTCTCCTGCTACCTAGGAAAAACACAAATCTAAATAGTTACGTCGGGTGATAACCAATCCGTACCATTTTAATTCAGACTCGGGTTTTCATTTTGTTTGACATACAGAGTGGCATGGTTCCCATTAGTTTTTAGACCATAAATGGCATAGATAGACACTGCTGTAGCATCAGAATCCTGATGGGCAAATTGAAAAGTCGTGTAAAGAAGAAAAAGAAAATCTCCATGTTCCACTGTTTCAAGAACTGTTGGACTGCTTTCGGGAGTCAAGCACCACAGCAGAACATGCGTCTGATATCAGATATAGTTTGTACATAGTTTATTTCCCTTGTTGCATATGTATATAGTTTTTCAGTGTTGCGGGTCATCAGGACCCCAGATGTCCCTTTATGTACATTTTTGAAAAAAAAGCATTAAATTTTGCCTGAAGTTGTTTGAAAAAATCTGTCATGTGTGACTTATTGCATGACAATCCTGTTTGTATATGACAACCATCCATCACCCATCTATCAATCATTACATGATGTGACGATGTAACCCTGTATACTAATTAGGTCTCAACATGGAAGCGAGGTTTTTGGATCTAGTCAAACGTTTAAGATACTAAAAAGGGCTTTAGAGAGTTAATGGTAACATTTTCGCATTCATGAAAGAATGAGGTAGATGTAAAATCATTTTCATGATACATTAATTAGTGATGCTACCATCGTTAACAGAGTTTAAAAATGCAAATTAGATGGTCAAGAAAGCAATTAAGTCAAACAAAAATGGGCTTGAACAATTATACCCGCTTTCAGTGTTACGTGCATAGGTGACATCTTTCGACCATCTCTCCACATTCTATCTTTTGACATGCTGTGTAAATGGCTGAAATGTTGTTTACCTGTGAAACTAGCAATTTTGCTGGTTATTAGTGGAGCAAATGTCAAGTATATGATAATTACTGACCTCAAATGAATGAAGAAGATTGTGGACTCCCAACTTACAGGATAATTCAAACAATTTTAGTGTAGTCGAACGGCTCTCAGTAGTGACTTCCAGTAGAATTGGGCCGCTACTGCTCAGTTAATATTCGAAATATGTAAACATTCAAAGCATTTATCCCTCACAGAATGTTTTCTTGATGCTTCTAGCCTTAGTTTGATATCAAATAAATCAATCTTTCATGACTAAAAATCAAGTTCAACCGTAAAGAAGCCACTTGTGCTTACATTTTGTCGTAGGCCAGGTTACATAGCATGTTGAAAGATGGCATGTTGAGTGATAGTAGCTATGCACGTAATACTGAAAGCGGGTGTAAAACTTTCCTTTGAATTGCTTTCCTTTCATCATGAACAAAGCAAATCTCTTGTCCATTTTGTTTCTTGTGGCAATTGAAATAAAGGAAGAAAAACCAATAACAATCAATAAAAATCAATAAAAATTGATACTTGGCCCTCTTGATCATCGACTTTCATTGATTTCCGATATTAATCGATTAATTGTTATGGATTATATTGATTGGACTTGATTATATTGATCATTGGTTTTCATTATCGGGCACGCCGGGCTTTATATAGAGGTAACTACACAAACAAGATGAAGTTATGTTTTGCTTTGTCTTTGTAATATAATTTATTGTTAGGGGTTAGGGGGAAATGAATTTTGAATAATGAACTGAACTGAATTGTTCCATCTGGAACAATTGTAATTCCAGTTGTCACTGTGTAGTTATTTCTGTTCTGGTGTTCATTCTTTTTATTCATTCATTTATTTTGTTTGTATAGTCATATTGTCATTCCCTGCAATCAGTGAGCAATTGCAGGATTCTATTTTCTGAGGAGGAGTTACATTTTGACTGAGTTAGAGTGCTGTTTGTATTGAGATTTATTTCCTGCTGACAGGAGATTAAAGAGGAACAAATACCTGACCAAGAAGTAAATTCTCAGCAAAAGAAGAAAGAGAAAAAGGAAATATTGACAAAAAACCAAAAGCGACGACTTGCGGAAAGAACAAACTACAAAGGAGAAAGAGAAAGAGGCTGGAACTGGGTAGATGTAGTGAAACATTTAAGTAGAACAGGTGTCAAAGATTCCTGAGAAGACAATTTCACTTCACTATGTTGTGAAGCAAATAAACTTACGTCAAAGTAAGTAAGCAACAAGTTTTAAGAGGGTGACACAACAGAATCCTTGATGAACAAGTGTCCCTCTACACTAGTAGTTCACTGCTTAAAATACATCTAAAAACGAAAATTCTAAAATATGACAAAGAAAAAAAGATGTGTACATGAATTGAATTTCTAGTTAAAAACATGCACAGTCATAAGCTAAGAATTCCTAAGCTTAAAATATTTTTTAAGAGCAGAGTTATCGTTGAAAGAGCAAATGGTGCTCTTCTTGCACAAATTCAAAGGAGCGTTCCAGAGTTTGACTTCAAGAACTTGAATAGACTATAGTCCGTGAGCCAGTAGGGCTGGTTGGTATCATCTGGGGTGAATAAAGTTTATGGTGGTTTTCTAGTAGATTAGACCATAAATAGTAGGGAAAAGCACGATAGCAATGATTCTATGGTAGCTAGTGGATAACAGTGCTCTTTAAAGTGTGGCTCAGGCATGGGAACGAGGCTGAAGCTTGTTTTGTGCTTAGTAGCTTCAGATGTCCACCAAAATGAACAGAGCACATACACAACAGTACCATTGTTTCACACATACATTTTT